ATTACGAACATATATGTTGGCGGACCTCTGCATTACTAATCGCGAATCACTGTCGGCGTGTATTTACATCGACTAGTCCACGCTACGTGCAAATGATAAGGGACGGAGTTACACAAAAAAGCGTTGAATTTTTCAAAACAGTCACAAAAATAGCTCCGTGTACAGTTGGGTGTGTACCACTTCTCTTACTTCTAAAATTGCCTTATTTCGAAAGCTTCAATTTCGCGATAAGCTCACTGCGATGTTTCACGTGTTCTTTATATGGCTACAAGACTCCTTGTTGGGGAAAAATAGCCAGTGAAAAATACTAGAAGCAATGTATTCTGTTACAAACCTTAAAAAGAATGTTTGTAAGACAAGATTATTCTAGATGAAAACGGACCAAAGTGAGTTTCATAACCTGCAAAGTAAAAATAAATCAACAGGTAACTGTCGCAATAGTATTAGTAGGTTTTATGTTGAGTTTCAATAAATACAAGTAAACTATGTGGAAACGACACGCTCACTTGACCATCGAGCATCGTCATACGGTGTGTCACACTTGACTGTTGTTGTTGCTCATTAAAATCAAACCTTATTCTCAAACACTAAGTAAATAAGCAGTTGTTAACCTGCTGAGTCGAAAATGCACTTTAGTTGCTACTGATTACGCGGTAAACGCAGGGCAGGCAATCTTGGCAAATTTACACTACATAAACTGACTATGGTAAGGTAAATGAAAGGTTAAAAGATCTAACTGTACAGATGCATTGTTCTGACGTTAACATGAGTCTATTTCAATTCAGTAGTGTATTTTCGCTCTCACGTTGCACGGGCAAACGGTTGGTTGCAACTTAAAAGAGAGTATGCAATCAAACACCTAAACCTCAAGAATGCTGCTTCTGTTTTATACTTTGTTACACAGTGTTGACTACGATCACTCGTCTTTCCTAACTCGACTTATATTATGTTAAGTGTTCACAAACGCGATATTTATCTACTAAAATTGAATGTGTCAACCGAGCTAATGTAGAACTTTAATCTTCGTATCTATTTTATAACTTTATGAGTCTGAAAGTAAGGCTTACAGAAACAATATATATTTAACAATATAGCTTTCGTATGGATTTTATACCCACTAAGCATCAAATCACAACTAATTGCGTAAACATTGGAACCAGAATAACCCTGTCGGTAGCTAACGAAACATCGTAGTACGGACAACCCTAGATTAAAGCATGTTTGACCAGTGACAATAATATTTGGATCCTTAAATAAGCCTTCAGTCAAAGAAGTCTGCCATTTGCATAAGCAAAGTTTTGGAAATCCAAATACAGTTGTACGGAAGCTAATAGGGCTGGCACGTCTTAAACATCCAGGTTCATAATCGCACTAAAACAAGAGAACCGGCGTCAGTTGCACTTGCATTATGACGCCGAGTAACACTATGTGACTACTCTAAGAAAACTACCAATGCAACAGACCAGAATGATATTCACAACAAATAGTTAGAATGCCAAGTACTTCATAGGTTTCTTTGCTTTCAGTCTGTCAAGTTTCATGAGTATGAAACGGAGTCCGGTCACATTGCTTCTACCGACAAAGATCTAGGATAAAAGTGGCATAATAATACTTTTCGTACATGTCAAAACTGTTGGGGAACTTTGATTCCACAATGTTATTTGTAAGATGACTATAAACAATATTACGTAGAAGGTCCTTTGGCGAGACTCTAATTTAGGGACGACCTTGGAACGAATCTTAAATGACCTTGATAATTATTAGCCAATCAGGAGACATTAACTATAAAATGAAAAGATATTGTAAGTATGTAATGAATTACAGTGGATATTCTTCTTTGATACGATTTAAAAACTTGTTAAGGTTTGATAAGGGTTCAGATGTTCTGAATTCATAAAGCATATGGTATAGAAACTCGTCCATACGATTAGGGTTGTAGCATCTCAATAAACACCTCTTCTATAAAATCCGATGTAAACCGATCGCATGTTAGCACCCTAACCCTTAACCTAACCATAATCTTAACCCTAATCTTATAAGATTTCTATACCATATGCATTATGAATTCAGAACTTCTGAGCCTTTATCAAACCTCGACAACTTTTTAAATCAGGTAAAAAAAGAATATCTACTGTAATTCATTACTTTCTTGTAATATATTTTTACTTTATATTGTTTTTTTATTGGCTAATAATTGAAATTGCTCAAACGCTTCTGATTGGTTCGTTCCTAAATTAGAGTCTCGCCGTCCCATCTGTTGCAACCTTTCATTAATCACCTACTCTCTAAAATCCGCTGTGAACCGATCGTATGTTAGCATCGCGCGTTGAACTTCGCTCCATGACCTTGAAATCGCTCAAACGCTTCTGATTGTCTCCTCCCTAAATTAGTCTCGCCGGTCCTTTATGGTCAAAAAAGTTCTAAGATTCGAGACCAGGAGTCTGTTAAATGAATGGTGCTTGAGGTGTTCAACTACTTAAACCAGTTACTGTGAAATTCTCGGAATTGGGGACAAGACAGCTACCGAGACGCCACATGTACCACCAGAGATGTTTACGGAGAAATAAACTTACTCATACGTAGATTCCGACCCATAAAAAAGAAACAATGTTCCACAGCCAAGGAAGATAGATGCTACAAGTGATAGAAGCAATTCTTTCAGCAAAACGCGGGAAAACTTGTTTGCAGTTAGTCCATATACAATAAACCATGCCATAAAAAAGGCCTCGATGGTCAAAAACAAGGTAGTGAGTACAGTATAAGTGGCAGGATTGATTTGAGGCACGTATCGCTCCATATGATCTAAAGTGATCTGAAAATAAGCCTGAATGTGTCAGCACCAAACCTACATCCATGTCTTCGTCAAACGAATGTTAGAACTGCCAAGGTCATGTTACGTCATATTACAGTGCTCAATAACTTCTTTACAGGACATTGTAAACCTATTTCAATGTGCTTTTGTGTCATGACATGAACTCATCTATTTATCACTCTTATGTAGTAACATTTGGGAACAGTTTTAATTTTCCGTAGCTTTCAGTACAGTTACACAGCTACAGTCAGCACAGAGAACTAACCAAACATTCAGAAGTTAAAAGACTTTTAACGTAGGTGAGTTTTCCTGGGGGTAAATGATATACTTAGGCCAATAACCTTCAGCTCGTGCTCCACTCTAACTTCCAAGATTTAAAAATAACGACCTTTTCACTATTAGTCTTGTTTCTCCTATTGGTAGAACGAGGGTTAATCACTGGCATGAAAATCTTTGGGTCAAAGAAGAGCTATCGATCAATCTGTTTGAAATTAAGTATTCGCGATCAACTCGAGTAGGCGTCTAATCACTTGGCATGTATAATCTACCTTAGTGATCTACAGGTTCATATGTTGCAGGCGAATTTTCTCGAGTACTATTTGGTTTAAGTCTGAACAGGTGTTCACGTAGTTGGTCCACGTAATTTTCTAAAACAAGCTTTTTTATTGTCAGTTCGTGGATGACTAAACTCTCCCGTGGTTTCAGAGTCGTCCTATTGAACATTGAGTCATTATCAATGGTTATCCGTATTCCCAACAAAACCAATAGCAGGATTTCTGTTCACTGACTGGCATTTGAGTGTGATATTCGGAGATAGCCAATAGTTTTAAATAGATTGATGTCTCAAGTGAGAAAGCGATATGGAGAAATAGACCTACATACCTATACAGTCCTTGTTTACATTGCTAGATAGTATATAGTAACGTAGATTAAGAGACATGTTTGCTGTTTTTTGCTGTTTTAGCAAACCCATTTTACTGAGACATGTCAATACTACTAGAGCTTTTTAACGAACCATGTTAGCTTGTAGTGTGGCGTCGAGTCGTGTTTGACTATGAACACAACTACAAGGAGGTTGCGAGCCAGAAATCAGAAGGCCGTTGTAGGTTGTAACGAGATATATTCGTTGGCGATCTCGTGGTGTCAAAAATACCGAGATCGTGCCAAGGAAATACAAGTGGAATCAGTGGGCGAAAGCAGGAGTGTACAAGGTCACAATCAACGGAAGGATAATGGAAGATTAAGATATGTTTTTAGTACAGTTAAACAAACAAGTACAGTAAAACAATTAGTTATAATAATAATTGTTTCCGTTAAACAAATCGCGTTCTCTTCATAAAAGTAGGTCTCTACCAGCTAAACATAAATATGGTTAACCAGTTATTAATATCGATCAATATAATAAGCTGTGTAATAATCAGTATTGCAGTACGATGATACACATGATCATTTATCAACAGACTAACATAAAAATGGGTTAACACAGGTAGGAACCAACTGATAAATTTGAAATTGATATGTGAATTAACAACAGGCTGCATTTCCTTTGTTGGACACATTATGGTAGAATTATGATTCTTTTCGATGTTAGTAAATTTATCTTGACTACAATAATAATAGACCCAATCCCAAAATGGTATGTGTATGTCATCATATAACTACCTAGTTGATATAATGAACGGTGTACAACATTTTTTTCATCTCTACACGTATATTATGTTAATGCATCAATAAGACAAATCACGTTACATCAGAACCAGGATTTGCGATCCAAAATAGAAGCAGATTCACACTAGAGAATATTTATTTCAATTCAATTACAAGCAGGCTCACACAGTGAGTCTAGAGCACAAATAAATAATGCAAATCAAAATCACATCCTCAATAGTTCATAGGATATGGCTGTTTGTCCACGCTCGACGACCAATCGTACTTCATATTCACTAAGCATCACTAATGCATAACATCTTACTTGAGTTTCACATCATAGTCCACGCCGATTCGCCCTACTCCGAAAATCAGAAATCGAACGTCTAACACTTCGGATAAACATATTTTGAGTTGTGTAGATGGTAATGTACTCCATAAAAAAAGGTTACACGGGGTGACGCTATAGAATTATGGTCTACTATGATATTAATACTACTCTAATAATAGACCTAATCCTAAAATTGTAGATTTATCATGATATAATTGCCTAATCTATAAGATCTTACGTGGAAGTCACATCATTGTCTACACCAACTCACTGTATCGTAACAACTACCAATACATGATGAAGAACAAGCTTAGGCTAGAGAAGAACAATATATTTAGTATGAATAAAAGATATAAGGTAATATTCAGCAGGGACCACGCCTGAATGGCCGAACCATGCCATCCGATCAACTCCAATTCATTCATTTAACTTTTCCCGCCTTTTCCGCGTTAAATATTGAATATCTATTTTCTGAGTAGTCTTGTGTTCAGCTTTGAAGATTGTGTGGTTATGGAAATACTTCACGTTGATTGGATGACTTATTCAGTATACAGTAAACCGAAGAACCTTGTACCTATTTATATTCGATAATTTTGTTGTTTGATTATATTTTCCTTGAAAAAGCTTGGACCAGATTGCCAGGCGAAACGTTGGATTTACTTAAAATTCATTCGCTGAGATTTTACAAATATATTCTTCTTTTTAATTTAAGACAAACTTAACACCGCCCCCCAAAGACAGCATGTCTTTCCTTACTTTCGCTGATTAGGTATTAACGTAAAATGTTCAGAGGTGACAATGGTACAATTTACTCTAGCCACAGTCACTCTGAAGGGTATCTCTATCTTCTAATGTTCAGTCATCCGCTCCTTCTAATAAACAAATTTTACGTATATCTCTAATAATTATGCCCTTCGACGTTGTCTCCCTAATTATTCGAGCACCATGGATTTCGTTGTTGTTGGAGAGTGTACCATTTACCTGTAAACGTGTGTTTACGTCTATTAGTCTCTTGTTGGTCATATCTACTAACAGGTTGTACGCACTAAGAAAATCAGCACCGAGGATGGGTCGTTTGACTTGAGCAACTATGAATACCCATGTGAATCTTCTGCGGAGCCCGAAGTCTAATATAAGAGATTGCTCTCCGTAAGTTTTGATAACTGATTCGTTAGTCGCTATTTGGTACAGCACCGAGGATGGGTCGTTTGACTAGACGCGCCTTTTCCGCGTTAAATATTGAATATCTATTTTCTGAGTAGTCTTGTGTTCAGCTTTGAAGATTGTGTGGTTATGGTCCAATGCCACTACACTACTCCCCCACCAGAATCAACGTGACGTTGGTTCGATACCAAATTGGATGGGATCGTCGCGCGCCGAAGGTTACCAAGGATAATAAGAATCCTCCGGCTATTGATAAGCTGAAAGATAAATCAAAAAGAAGGCGGCAGCATCTGGTCGTGAAATACATGTAATAATTTTAAAATACCTGCCTTCATGCTTAACACGCTTGAAATGAAAATTTGGGTGAAGATTATTTGATCTATAAAATAAGGGATTAAAATAATAATAACAAAACGATGTGTGTCAATAGCCGTTGGTTAGTAACTTAACGTGTAGGTAGTAAGTATTTTGTATTTAGAAATACTAAAGTAGTGAATATTGTAAAAATGTTAAAATTGGTATTACTTTTGGTTTAAATTATGAAATCAATTAACGATTATGCCGGTAACCTGTCCATATGTGATTTCCAATTGCATCTGTATTAGTATGTGGAGATAAGCCTGACAACCTTATTTTGTAAATAGTTTTCAATGTTATTTGTATTTATTTTGTCAACCTTCCACTGTATGTATATTTAACATTAAATGACTGTAACTGTTGTTTTAGTAAATGACCTTGAAGACACTTTCCGTTGTGCTACTACATAGCGTGGCATACCGTTGCTGGCTAACAAATACACTGCTTCTCACACATTCCTCGTTCTATTTTCATTTGTGATTGAGTTAACGGAAGTCTAAATCAAATACTATTTACATTTATAGACGGTAATCGGAATATATCACATCCTACGTCGGATTATATCACTCGAGAGTTCGCCAACCTGCTCAGAATCAGCAAACATTTATAATTGTGGATTTACATTACTGGACGTAATTAGAACATGCAACGTTTGGTCAATTTAAGTAACGTCACTAATTTTTTATTGTATTTGTAACAATTAATTGTATATATTAATATTACTATTGATTTTTAGTAACTTTGTCTATACTTTTCGCGTTCATATCTGTTTGGTCCACCACAATTATTTGGTGAGCCTCGATTTTTTATAGACATCTATTATATATATCTACATATTTTTTTCTTACTATTACTAATTGGTACGACACACCCTTTTTGTTTTTGGCATTATGAACTCTCCTAATAAACTTATTGATATAGATAGTCCATCAACCAACCCCTTTCGTTCATCACAGCCAGAAGATAATGTTTTGAACGCTATTTCTGAACTAAGATTACCAACGCACGGTGTTATTAATCCCAGGATCTGGTTTGCACAGGTTGAGGCATTATTTTTGTCGGGAGGTATACGCTCGCAAGCGACAAAATATGCATACGTCGTTGGAGCATTACCCATAGAAGTGGCAGCAGAAGTCGGAGACCTGATAGATAACGTACCAGAAACGGACCCCTATGACAAAATAAAAGCCGCAGTAATCCACCGTACGTCGCAGTCTGACGAAAAACGCTTACAGCAACTACTCATCGCATGCGAGTTAGGGGACAAAAGACCTTCACAGTTGCTTAGACATATGAGACAACTAGCAGGCCCATACAAGTTAGACGAAGCATTACTTAAGCAGTTGTGGTTACAAAGGTTACCACATAGCGTCAGACAAATCCTCAGCATATCAGGAGCCTCTATCAGTCTTGATGATTTAGCAGACATGGCCGATAAGATGATAGAAACATATCCCGATAGTCGCGACATTAGCGCGATACAATCCTCAAGTAGAGAAAA